TAAAAGGTTAACCTTAGAATCGGTCGCCATGTCTGGAAGCACAAACGTCTCCCAGACATAGTTTAAAATCCTGCAGACAAACAGAACCAGTGAACCTGAACCCAGCAGGACCATCATCATCCTCAGCAGCGTTGCATCGGATCAAACAGAACCGCGTCTTTCTCAGATCAGATAACGTTCCATAAAAAGACAAATCTACGAGTTTGAATCAAACGTTTGATTCAGATTTGAATTATTATAAAGTTGAAACTTCCTGTTTTCATAACTTCTAAACAGATGAAGATCTGATGTCATGTTTCTATGAGCTGAAACCAGGAACACAAATCCTACTTTTATTCACATCATTGACTTCTTCTACTGATGTAGGGACTTTATGGGCAGTCTTTGGACCTTCAGCCCATCAACGGGTCTGGATCCAGAACCACAGGAAACCAGCAGCTGCAGCTCATGGAGCTCCTCCAGACCACAGCATGACCTGACCTAGAAACGCGGTGCATAGATCTGCCAGCGCCTCACCTGCGATGCGGATCACAGCCCTCTCTGCCGGTTCCAGAACGTCTCCAGAGGCCGACTTGGAGCGCTTCATGCGGTGGTGCTTAGGGAGGTTCCAGGGTAACGTGTCGCCCGGAAACGGCGAGCCGCTAACGGAGCTCAGATCGCTGGAGCTCTCCTCTGACGCAGCCCGGACCAGAGGCCTCCTCCTGGGCTTCTCCTTCAGCTCCTCCATGTTCTGCATCAGAAAAACACAATCAGGAGTTCAGAGAAGGAGGAGCGTCTGCAGGGAGCAAAGCATCAGGTCGGTCTCTCCGTTCTAAGCAGGAATAAAGTTAGAAAAGATCAATCTGACCACGATGGACAGAACCCAGACACAGCAACTATCAGGCACAGAGGTGGAGGCATGGAGATGTGGGCTTTTCTAATAACTTCCTTAACTGACTAGAAAAAGGTTTGGTTTGAGAAATGTTTTTAATCCAACCAATAGTCTGGGTCTAGAGTTCAACCTGGGAACAACTTTAACCTGAAAAAACTGGATATTAGCAGAACCGAAAACGAGCCAAAGGTTTGAGAAACTAGTTAAAGACTGACTAAAGACTCACTAAAGACTGAGGACAGTCTAAAGACATAATAAAGACTGATTAAAGACAGACTAAAGACTGATTAAAGACAGACTAAAGACTTACTAAAGATGTATTACAGATTTAAGACAGACTAAC